TTTTTTTTTTCCAGATCTGTGCCAGCTGTACCAAATCCTTATCCAGTGATTGTGGTTGCATTTCTGTTGATTGTCCTGTTTTATTTAAATTGAATTTGTCGAAAAGAGATTTATCTCAGGCACCTTACTTAAGAGGTTTAATAAATCAAGAACTATTTTGATGTGCAATGGATAAATAATTTTTAAAAAAAATTGAATATCTGGTTATATTCATTTCATTGTAAATTAGCATAAGTGTATTTTCACCAGTGTGTTTCATAATTCATGTGTAAATTTTTATCATTATTTGTACATAATGGATTCAGCTTAAAAGTGTACAGTCATTTTTTAAAGAAAAAATATATATGTTAGAAAATGTTTATTTTTGAAATGAATTATTTTGTCGAGTCCATTTAAAACTTTAGATCGAGAATGGTGATTTTAAACAAGTAACAGAGATTTTATGGGAGATTTTTAAAGCATTATATCAACACCATCATTAACTAAATGATGTTTGTTATCTTCAGCAAATGATGTATTGATTTTATTTTTTCTTTTGAATTGTATATTTATTATTTTGTTATCATCTAAAAATCAATGAAGTATGTTTTATTTATTTGTTATCAAAAATTATACATTTATTTCAACAAAAATATATTGTTTTTTTATGGACTTGTGCAAGAATTTTAATTAAAAATACAGTTCATTGTGCTCATATATTCATCTTTTCAGCTGCAGCTTTTACTTATATGAATCTCAATATTCATAAATACTTACTAGGGAATCATTAATTTAACTTTTATCAAATTAATTAGCTAGTTGTGTGCTATGTACTATTTTAATTTTTTTTTGTGATGAGTAGAATTGATTTTGTAAAATCTTTGTTGAAAATTACTATAATTTTGATGGTGTTGATTATCTATACGTACTGAATTTGTATCAATTAAAATTGTTTTAAAACATATTGAAACAATGATATTGTTATATTTTGATTAGTCCTTTGATTTTTAAAAAATAATTTATTCTTATCCAGTTTTTATGAAATGATATAATTAAGGATTGCCTGCTGGATTGCAAAGATTGAACAGCAATGCAGCATATTAATTTTTTCTGTTAAATTTGCGTGTTTATTAACGTTATTTATTTATTTTAATTTATATGAATAATAAATGTAAATTATCTAAAGATATCCTCAAACTTTGCTTTGCACTTAAAGAAAACTGCACTAAAGCACTTAAATATATAAATGCACTTTATATAACCACATAAAATAAACAGGGAATGAAGTGATATTTTAACTTATCTATGTGAAGAAAAAAAAATTGTAAGTGACGGTAATTTTATGCAAGTACAAAATTAAATAAACATGGATCTAAAGATAAAAAATCAAATAATTTTTCAATTGAAACCTTTTAAATCCTACTATCAATGTTATTCTAACCTCTAATAAATACTTTTTAGTATTGGTTTCAAGGACAGATTAAATATGTTGGCTTCGTATGTTGTTGAATTAACATTAATAAAGTCTTTATTAAAAAAAATATTTATTGATAATATAAGTACACTCGTAACTTACTACAGTCACGTACATTTTGTATCTAAGTTCTACAAATAAATAATGTTAACATCTTAAAACTGAAATTAAAACATAACTGATGCTGCCATTCTTCATTTTTACAATATATATGCCCTTGCGGTGGCCAAGGCGCTTACATGCGAACTAAATAATCGCTGTTGCTATTCATAATTTACAATTGCGCTTACAAAATGTGCTGTTTGTCTGCTGGATATTTTTTTCAATCATCATCTTATGGTATGTTTTTTGTGGTGATGGAAGTTGAACACTCTAATTTAATTAAAATGTAGTACTCACATTTCGTTCAAATACTTGAATTCCTTAACTACTTACCTTTCTCTCTGAATGTTATATGTATTATGTATCAATACAGATTCAATAGGACCTAATCTAGTTATTAATTGTCTAGTATTAGTAAGAATTACATATTTTTTTTATTACAGAAATATTTTACCCCTTAGCTGCATTTTCAGATATTGAGATTTTCAATTAAACTTAATAGAAAAAGTCAATTTTATTGATACATGATTTTAAAAAATTTTGTTGGTTAGTTGTAAACATTTACTATTAAACTATTTTCATGTTTAGTATACTTTAATTTTGTGGATTAATAACTAGGAAGGGAAAACTTTTATATTGTTCCCTTCCTTGATTATGCTCAATCTTATAATATTTTTTTTTTCTCCATAAATAATAAAAAAAATATCAATGCATTTTTTTTTCCCTTGGTGATTTAAGATGATTATACTATATATCAGGCTGCGTAACGCTTTTTAAAGGTGCTTATTTTTCTTTTCACGTTTTTTTAAAAGCCCTTGAAGATGCTTTTTTTTATTTGATGTTTGTAAAAAGTGCTTAATTTTCTATTTTTTAAAAGGAGATTATTTTTTTTTTGCCGTATCATTATCGTTCTAAATTGCAAAAAATGCTTGATTTTCACAATTTTCTCTTTCCAATATTTCTCAGAAACTAATTGTTTTATTATGATTATGTAAAGTTTTTAAAATTGTTTTTGAATTTTATTGATTTTACGTTTATAAATTAAGAACTTTAAACGATAGAAAAGAAAATTATTTTTATTACTGCATGGATCCTAATTCTGATTTTTTTATTTTTTTTTGGAACGTGATTAAAAAAATTTTGAGTACTTGAAAGGCGCTTTTTTGTTTAAAAATCTGACTATGCACCCTGTATATTCATATATTCCATACATTCATATTACATTTTGCATATTGAAAATTTATATATTTTTACAACTGCGACCAGAGTTTCTGTGATTCTATATTACTGGACTAAAGGTTTTATTTTTGCCACTTTTTTTTTCCTTTTTTAATTTTACCACAAATTATAAAGAATTAACTTTTTGTCTAATTAGCATTTTCAAAATTTTTGACAAATAGTGTACTCTGTTGTACATTTTCTAGTTTTGTTTAATATTTGCCTGATGCAGATAAAGATGTTTCTTTGCAATCCAGTGGTTTTTGTTATTCAGTCTTTGTGTGGTGCATATTTTTTATTTATGTATTGTAAATTCAAAAAAAAAATAGGATTTCTACAAACAATTTAATTTTTTTTTAACCTAGCAGTTAAGTGGTTTAAACAGTGTTTGTAAATATGCTTTCAGTGTTTGAATACAAACTAAATAACTTATTCACTCGTTTCATAAATTTGCACAAAATAGAAGCTGTCTCTTGTGCTCTGCTTTTCTTATACATAATGAATGAGCTATTAAGGGTGTGCTATGAAGAAAAAAATCGAGATTTTTATCCAAGACTTATATGAACTTGTATTCCATGACATATTTAAGTGAGCAATTAGATAAATCTACCATTTTCTGTAGATGTAGCTTTCTATCAAATAAACTAAGTTTGTTCATGACCTAGCATTTTTTACAGCTCTTGAAATTTTTTTTTTTTTTTTTTTTTTTTTTTTTTTCCCCACTAATCAAAAGATAATTTATCCTATGAGATTGGTTAATCATATGAGATAACTAATGATGGTAATGATAATGATGGTTAACCCCTCTGACCAAAATGACCAGTTTACTATTTCTGTTCTCACACTGAACCTTCAAACTTCATGCCATTATTCCAATTTTCATGTAATTTTTTTTTTATGTGTGTTTGTACCTGCCTGGGCTTTAACTTTTGCATTGTTTAAAGTGAAATGGTGTAAAAAAAATAATAACTTTTTAGTCAGATAGTTTAATGTTTAAACAATAAATGCTTAAAAACATTAAGAAAATAGCTGCTCATCCATATTTATTTATTATTTGGAAATTTTAATATTTGTTTAATTCACGGATAGCAACTTGATGAAGATCTAATCGGCCTGTTAACCCTTTTTATCACAATCGTAACATTTGAGGGAATTTGGAAATTTGGTTTTTATTGCTTACATGGGATTAACCATCCACATTCAGTAAATTAATTATTTTTTAAAAAAAATTATTAAGAAGTATTGAATTCATTAACATTTGAGCTATAGTAGAAATTATGAATATAATAAATTTGAAAGTCAATGAAATTTATTTTTATAAAAACCTCATTACTATTTTTTTCCAAAACTGTGACATGAATTTAATTGTTAACTCTTTACTGGCTATTATATGTGTACTTTTGAAATTGATTTTAATTAGATTCCGAATGTAATTGCTTAAAATTAATATATTATGTTAGAGATTTTTCTTCTTTGTAAATTAAAGCTGTTGTAATATAAAAAATTTACTTTCATTGTGGGTAGATAGATAGTAAATCTTAATTAACAATTATGTTTAATCCGACTATGCTTTAATCACAGACCATAATTATGTACGAATAATTATTATTATTTTTTTTTTGAAATTAGGTGTAAAATATGTTTTAATTGTAAATAGATATAAACTTATAGGTTGCAGTTGTCAAATCTTTTTTAATTCAATCAACAATCTAGAAATTGAAAAAAATAAATTAAGAAAATCAGTAAAGTTAGAATTACTGTTTTTTATTTTATTTTTAAGGAAGATTGTAAATCTGTTATGACTTTTTTTTTCCCATTGAGCAATAACTACTGATTATCTTTTTGCAGCAGTATTAAATGAATTGTTTTTCTTTTTCCTTTAGTTAAAACTGATATTAAGTCACAACCATGGTAAAATTCAGAACTGTTACCTCTAATGGTTCACTAGTGAAATTGTTAAATTTCACTATTCTGTAAGCATTTATGCGATATTTTCAATAATGTTTCTAATTTTGTTATCTCTCTATAAAACTATGGATAATGTTAAATCTCTTAAATTTTTTTCAAAGAATATAACAATTTTAAGGATAAACAATTTCAAAAAAAAATTGCTAAATCACTGTAGCATTCTCATAAATAGTTGAAGGAATCTTTTTAAAAAAAATTAGTTCATAATCCTTTTGTCATGAAAAAACTATTTTATTTGTATTATAATAATGATTTTTTTTAAAATATGAGATGTGAGGAGAAAAAACGTTATATGAAAGAAGAAGAAAAAATATTTCTTTTAATTCCCATTTAAATCAAATCGCTGTTTTAAAATATTTGTCACTGCCTCCTTTTACTAGTTTATTTTACAATTTCTAAGTTTTATTAGAATGTTATTTACAGACTGGTTTTGGGTACATGCATATTTCTATTATTATCTGGAAACAATTATTGTGACTTTTTCGAATCGTATTAACTGAGAAAATTTTGTTTTTTTGTAATGAAACAATTGTTAAAGTAAGCACATGGCTCTACTATTGTGCCTGTAAATGAATATTATATAGAACATTAGTCATGTAATGATTGTTTCAAGATACTGAACCCAATTGTGTCTTATATATAAGTTTTTAACTATGTTTTTATTCTAAATGTTTATGTATAAAAAAATTGGCTTTTGTCAATTAGAGAGTTCTTTTAATATAAATATTTATTTGTATCTATAATAAATTACAGAACAAACTAAATTAATGTTATGCATTTCGAAAATTTATTTGTGAATCTTCATCTGTAATGTTGATGATATAAAACTAGATATATATAAAAAAATATGGTTGCTTTGTGTTCATTTCTTGTTAAAGTTAACATTTCTATATTGATTAATTGGAGATTTTATTGCCTTGGATAAATTTTGTTAGATCTATAATTTGAAAGAGCAACATTTTAACTTTTGCAATTCAAAGTTTTATAGTTTAAAAAGATGTAAAATATTTTTTACACTTTATTTAAAATTAATGTAAAATATTTTTTCCACCTGATTTTATACTTTATAAAAAAAATAAATCAGTATGATTTTCTTTTTATTTAAAAATAAATAAATCTGAAATAATTTTTATTCTAATATTATAATTATTAGGTATTTATGTAGTATGCAAATTAGTAAGTACGTAAAGAAAACCGTCGTA